CCTACAAAAAGTGAAAACAAGGTTAAAGCCCCCCCCCCCCCCCCCCCCCCCTTACCATCGACAAAAAACCCTGATTACAATCGACAACCTCCCACAACCATCGACAATTCCCCGTACGACAAAAAATGTACACTTACACGCCGTCCTCCAAGTCAATCGGTGCGGTGTTCCAGACGGCAACGTCCGGACTCTAAAATGCCTTAAAAATGCGCGCTTTTCCTTTCCGACGCAACAAGGGGCGCCTCAAAAACAGCGCCCCCCGTCTTGCGTCGCAACTCCGCGTGCGCGAGATTTGAGTTGGGGGATGACAACCCGGCAAGCCATCGACCCGAAAACTTCGACTAAAACATCAGCAGCAGCCGAGGCAGCAGCAACTCGTGCAGTGTACCACTGCTCTCAGCAGTAGCAGCAGCAGCAGCAGCAGCAGCAGCAGCAGCAGCAGCAGCAGAAACTCGCTCTACTGCAGTGTACCACTGCTCTTCTTACAGCAGGTGTTTCTTCTCGTACGGCTACAGCACTGCAGCACTGCTGTTGTCATCAAGAGCGAGAGAGAGCCCGTCAACGCTGGTGGTGGAGGTGGTGGTGGCCGTGCTGCTGGCGACGGCGCGGGAGAGGGGACAGCAGCATCGCGTCCTGAGTAACGCAGTCCTGCAGCTCCCTGTAGAGGTACCTCGGCATGGCCTCCCGGTGCTTGGCGATGGTATGCTCCAGGCGGAGCATCTTCTCCGAGGCGATCTGGTTCACAAAGGGGGAGGAAAAGCCGAGGCGATCAATCAATCAATCACCAATCGTGTGGAAAAGTTGTTTCCAGTTGGACGAACCCAACTACAGAAGAGACTCGACAGTCAAAAACGGCACCGGACGAAGGCCCTACCTGCCGCCTGGGAGCGGCGGGGGTACTACATACGTAGCTCAGGAACGCGAGAGAGCTAAAAAACGAAAACGGCAGCAGAATCAGATCGTAACTGGTGAACTGCGTCATGCGTAGTATAGTAGTCCACCAAGGCACAAGGTTTGAGGGACTTGAGAACTTGAATCGGTGGTACGACGATGGATCCTCAAGCCTTGCCATGGACACGGAGAGAAAATTGCGTAAAAAAAAATGTTTCTTGGCAGTGCCACAATATTTTTGCCTCTGCCACCTGCTATAATAGGGCAACGACTTGTTCGGGAGGAAGACGGCAAACACTGCCCATCGGAGTGCGCTTGGCTTGGGAGGCCGCGTGTATCGACTATCCGCGTGTCCGACCGGACCCGACACCTTCCCGCTCTACCTCTACCTCGGACTTCAGGCGGTGACGACCCGAACGAAAGTCTTACACGGGACCATTTTACCGCAGAACCCACCACTGCCGTCGCCGCCATCCCACACCACAACCACCACCATAAATCACAGCAACCACAGCAGGAACAAAAAACGGTTGGTTTTTGGGGACACACCAAAGACTCCCCGCTGGATGAAACAACATTTACACGTGGTTTGTAGGAAGACGTGTAGACATCCAACAAAGTATTGGTTTAGGGTTGACATGTAGTTAGTTACCCTGATGTAAGCAACGGCAACTGATCCTTGAGAAGACATAGACAGATTTGAAAGCAAAAAAAAACTGATTGTTGGGAGGACATACAGATACCCTGTTGGAAGCAACAACATTTTGGGGTTGTAGGCAGACGGGTAGATACCACGTTGAAAGGAACAACATTTGGTTGTTGTTGTTGTTGTCTTCACATTAAAAACCGTTTCGATCTCCTTCTACCGAGTACCTTCACATGTCCGTACTGATCCAACACTTGACGCGGTCGATTCCCGTGGTCACATGCTAACTTACACTAAAAAATTGGTTTTTGAGAAAACGTATGCAGCAGTAGACGCCCTGTTGGAAGCAGCAACATTTGGTTTTGTGGAAACACATACAGCAGACACCCTGTTGGGGAAGCGAAGCTGGGCGAGACGAGCCGGTCACCTGTAAGAGGACGACCGACCCTTCCAGGGCGTGGTAAAGAGCCGGGATGTCGCCAGGCACCACAGGGTGGCGGTCTCGACGATCGGTCGCAGCGTCCTTCACCAAAAAAAAAAACGTAGAGGAAGAAGAAACGCAACCAAAAAAGGGCGGAGGAGACGCTTGTGGGATATTCAAGGGCCGGGGATACGTGTAATCAATGGGAATGATTGGGAATGATTGCACAAGCCGTGCAATCCCTGAGGCTTTGGTGTGTTCGGGCCCAAACAAAACAACGCTCCGAAAAAGGGCTGTCTGGTGTCCACCGGGGACCCGACGTCGTCGCCAAAGCGGCCAGTTGGCGCGGTCGACAATACCGTACGCAGTAGCCAAAGCAAACACCGAACACCCCATGTGTCCACTAGAGAAGAAATGCACCCGCCGGGTGCCACACTGAGCACGGCGCTTCACGAACGCCCGGCCAGCTGGTAGGCGCAGTCGGTGCTACTAGTCACAGAGACGCACACGCATACCCAGCAGTCTTCGATCCCGAAGAGCAGGCTAGCCAAATCCATGCCCCCCCCTCACGGAGCTAGATCATGATCTGAAGAAGCGTATTTCTGATTAGGCCCCAAGCTTATGGCTGAGGCCCGTTCACTGGTCAGCCAATGAGCGCAGTCCATGCAACCAACGAAACACACAAGCCACTACACACTTCCGTTGTCAGCGGCACCAAGGTTCGCGTATTTTCATTGGTTCAGCCACTAGGCGCCGGCGATGCAAAATACACACACACACCATACCTTTTGGTTAGATCGTGTTCGTGTGTGCTATCCCGTCACGAGACGGACGCCTTGTCTTTTCATTGGTCAGCCGGTTGGCGCGGTCCATGTTAAATAAACACACACACACACACACACACACCATGACGCCCCCTCACGGAGTTCCAGATCATGGCCTTAAGAAGGCATTTTGTGTTTTCACCCGCGCTGAGACTGTGTTTTTTCAATGGTCAGCCGGTTAGCGTGGTCAATGCTAACTAAGAAAACACACACACACGCGCACCCGTTATAAGCATTTTGTGTTTTCAACCGCGCTGAGACTGACGCATTTTCATTGGTCAGCCGGTTAGCGCCGTCGATGCAAAATACAAACACACACACCTTATCCTTTGATTAAAAAGTGTTCGTGTTTCTCGTCTGACGTCTGACCATTGGTTCACGCAATTACCACGGTTGATGCTAGCAACACACACACACACACACACCTTGGCCTGGCTGAGGGCCTCCGCCTCCCGCCGGTTCGCCTCGAGCTCGGTCCTCGCCCGGCACAGGTCCAGCTCCGACCTCACCAGGGCCGCCTCCAGATGCATCACCCGATTCTTCATCCCAGCAACCTCCTCCCCCCCCCCCCCCC